CATCCACTCCAGCTTTCTAATAAAGATCAAGACTTCCAACTCTCCTGGTCACAACAACATTCAGCTGGGAGGTTCATGAGGCGATAAAGGCCAAGCACTTCAGCAACGCTTGGTGTGACAGACAGGATTTCCTTCGGTCTGGCTTCCAACAGCCCAGCTTTCCCAGCTGGTCCGTCATATGCCTGCAGAGGAAGCTCAGACCCTGGCTGGAGCTCAGTGTTGAGGGCACTACATATACACCAGCACCCAGCCATAGTGCCCACATCACCCACAGTCCTGGGCAGAGCCACACAATGGCCAGGGTGGCTGCAGAGCTCCTCAGGAGCACTTCCCCTGTCCTTGTTCCTGCCTCGAGTGCTGGCAGTGTGGTTGGCAGGGCAGCAGGCAGGACACTGCCCCACAGAGACTGTCCCAGCACCCCCAGTCCAGCCCCACACCTCCTACAGCCCAGCACAGACCAACCAGCACCAACCCTGACCCCACTGGGAACTGTCCAAGCTTCCCACAACCCTTCCTCCCCAAAACCCAAGCAGAGCAATGCTGGTCTGCAGAGTAGCCACCAGGACAGCAAACTGGGAATGTCCAACAAAGGAGAGGGTGTGAGACCAAGAAATAGTCTATCTCTAGGTTCCTCCCTTCCCTTCAGGATCAGCTTTTCTCATCTCTGCCTACCTGCCTGCAAGGTCACCCTGAGGGTCCTGGAGGAGCCCACTGGGAGGAGAAACCACCTCCAGCACTGGGGGAGGGTCCTGGTCCAGCCTCACTCTTTCTCTGCTGTATCCAGCCAGGAGCAGCCGAGGCTTCCTGTCACTGGTGACAGAGCAACCAGGCAATGTGGCATTCCCATAGCAGGGAGACGAGCCAGACAACAGTATTATCTGCTCCCGGGATACGAAAAGACTGTCTGAGAGAAGGGCCTACACAGCCTAGCAGTGGTCCTGTCTGGTGTTTTACTAATCCTTTCTGTTGGAGAAAACTGAGCCCAGACAACATGCTGCCACCAGAGCCTGCCAGATTCCATGGGTTTTGTGAGGTGACAAGACACAGCACATTTGACAGCATTCAACAGGGAACCAGTTTAATCAGATATTGGGTTTGCACCGTTCTTTTCAGTATCACAAGTTCTGCATTTTTCTAAGAAATACAAAACACTCTCGGGTTTACAGAACACTGGTCCTGGAGAAAACAAGAGGGAGAGAACAAGACACTCGGATACAGACACATCAACCACCACACTGGGCAGCAGAAAGCAAACTGCTCATCCCCACCTTGCTGATTGTAACAGTCCCTTTACAGGAGGCAGAGAGATCCCAGGGGGGCTGTGCTGCCACAGCAGGGCTGTGCCCCCCACCCATCCGAGGTCAGTAACCGTGGGACACCTCCACACCCCCACTGGCACACCAGCAGTGAACACATCGCTTCCACATTCCAGAGTGAAAACCCCCTTCCTAAAGCCAGTTGACAAGCGTCCAGGTTCATCTACTCTAGATCTAAACATTACACTGAGAGCCGGGGTAAGTTACTTCATCCACGAGATTAACAGCTGATTCCATAGGTCGAACACATGCTACTTAACAGCACATAAATAGGAGATGCTCTTTTTTTACTTAAAAAACACGTGATGAAGGTCTATGGTCGGGTTGCCTCGACACTGCCGCATGCACACGGGCTCACAGAAGCGGCTGCGCTGGGCAGCCAGGAAAGCTGCCTCTGCATCAGCTATTCCAGGGGTCACGGGACAGCTAGCCTGCCCCCATGCTCGCACACTATCCACACAGCCATTAAATAAATACAGTGCTAGCTAGGAGTGGGCTTTGATACAGGTTTTGAAAAGAAATATTAATCCATAGAGGGTTTACAGTTAACACATATCATCGTCACTTTATTTCTCAGAACCAGAAATAGTGCTGAACAAACAAACAAACAACAACAAAAAGGGAGACACAGGATATCATTTTCCAGAAGTGCAACCAGGGTACAGGGGAGCTCTCAGCGAGGCGAAGGGCTTCTGCAGCTGGGAGAGGAGGGGAGCCACAGCAGAAGATGGCAGCTCCCGCTCCCGGCGGGCGCCTGACCTTGCGACGCTCTCCGAGGGGATTTGTCACCGCAGCCTCCACCCCACCCTGCCAGCAGGACCCACGGCATGTGGGACCACCGAGCCCCCCAGCACCCACCGAGCCAGGGAGCTGCGGGGAGGTGACTTTGCAGGGGAGTACCCCAGAATAAAAGAGACCTCAAAATAAATAGGATCAAAGCTTCTTTACAGTAGGCGATGCACTAGCTTTACCAAGAACAAAACTAAGACTAACAGCCACTTCTTGCCAACGGAGAAACTTTTCCTCCTCTTCACATTTTCCAGCCCCCCCGCTCTCGCAGCTGCAGTGCGGCCGGAACGGCGTTGCTGGGGATGGAGGGGGGGGCACGGCAGCAGCGAGTCCCATCCTCACACCAGAGCGAGCAGGGCCAGCTGGGGGGGCCCTGCACAGTCCCAGGGCTGGCAGAGGGGAGAGGCAGCCGGGGATACCCGTGTCCATCCCCACACCAGCCAAAACAATCCTCAGCAGCTCCCAGCAGCTCTGCACCATGACCCAACCATACGGCTCCAGATATCACCGCTACCAACAGCTGTGATCCAGCTGCCTCCTCCAAAACCACTTCTTCCAGAGGGAAGAGGGGCAGGGTGGGGGCACAAGCAGGGCCTAACCTCACCCATGCTCCCCCAGCACCCTGCCGCAGCCCAGGCCAGGGGGGG